CATTCGTGCTTCACATAACATCGATTCCCTCTGTACGTTGGATCAACCAATTTTTTTTACAACCGAGTCACTATCAAACGCTGCATTCATACAACATTTAATAGTCCTTATGTTTGGGAGGATGCCAAGAGCATATTGTGATGTGCTTGAAACAGAAAGCGGCACCCACTCTGAAAGTATTCGGATGAATGGTCGGTACGACGACCATAAACAGCACTCTGTAAAGTTCCACCCGCTGGTCTTATTACAATACATTAGCATCCGTGCAAGACCAAATGCTTTCGCACGTAGTTTCAGGCATACGTAGAAACAGTTACACTCGCGCTGACATGACCGGACAAACCACAATTGGAGAACATGCGTGACGTACGCGCAGATAGAAACCCGACGTGGCTAGCAGACGACGCAAGGAGCAATCTATACTTCACCGTTTCGGTCAGTTCTCGCCAGGTGGCGACTCTGCCCGATGTCGCTGCCAATAGTTGTAAGGGGGTGCCACTGAACTCAACGTTTCACGCATTACTGTAATTACCGGCAGCAATTTCGCTCTCCTTCTCTATGGCTATACTATACTGGCAAACGCCCCGCCATATGTATGTAATGCCGCGGAAGACGCGACCCATGACAGGAGCGTGGCTTGAAGTCACGGTGTAACCGGGTACGATTCTTTTTTAAACCTTCTTGGTACTGCGGCTATGACGCTGCTCCTCTGGAATGCGCTTTGGCTAGGCTACTGCAGCTAACATTGAAAAAGAAAAGTAAAAAGAAAACGTTACGAACGTTCGGCTTGCGCTAGCGTTTAAAGCTTCAGAAGTCGATCACGTGTCGTGCAGAGAGATGCGTTTTGCTGACCTAACTGCTGACATAGCTTCGACAACGTTCCACCTGATTAACTGGAAACGGGTCTTAGCAGCAGATGTGAAGTCAGCACGGCCAGCATTTGCCTGGAGCACGGTGTAGACTGCAGTCGATATAAAAGCATGGCTTTGTGAAGTGCGAATCCAAGATGGAATAATTTTCTCCTACAGGGAATGCTAGCTTGAATATAAAATAACAGATCGATGCTATATACCGACAAACTTTACAAATGCTAGAGGGTAAACGTAGCTTGATCTTCACTATGATAGCCATGACCTTGAGGCTTCTTGTAAGGAAACCAGTACCGCTGGGGCACACATTGAGCGATATTAGCCCGCGCACACACGTTGTGCTGGCACTATCTGTTGTATTCATTGTCATTTCCTTTTGCTGATGTCTCATCAAGTTCGAGGCCCACGAGATGGCTTTACGCTCTCCCATTGTAGAGTCGGCAGAGTACCACGTACTTTAGGTATTTAGATGCTGTTTTCTTTGTAAGTGTGGATACGTGTTGGTCTGTACTCGACGCCAATCTCGCGCCTGTTTTCTGGTAAGATCCGGATGGACAGGACTAATTTTGTCGTTCTCATTTTTGGTTTTCGAGGATATCAAGTGGGGTATTGAGAGTCCGTCTAGGACATAGAGTTTCCTAAAATTAACTAAAGGGTACTCTGTCGCTGCGATCATCCAGCGACCATGGGAATGATGGGTAGTACTCATATTTGCCTAGTCTTCGTACTTTCGGGTGGTGAATCGTACCTGCGGCTTCGTTTATTGCTGTGTTTCGGCTTTGTTTTGAGAGAAACATTCAACCCTTTTTAACTACGTGACCCGATTTGGAAAGGTAAGTCTAAAAAAATAAGGCCGTGAAGCGCATCCGCTGAACATTTGCTGATTTTTGTTTCGTGAAAAAAAAAAAACAGCTCCAAACCACACGACCACAAACGGAGCCAAAATCAGGTCAGAAGTACGAAGATTAGACAAATGCGTGTATACTACCTATCATTCCCATGCTCGCTGAAGCGCTGTGCTTTGCAGCTCCCATAGACACTACCGCCGGAGTTCCTTCTAGTGTATATTGGAAAATTCTATGGTCGAGGGAGCGATCGGTGCTCGGGTGTTTATTTCGTGAAGAAGCCAGTCGGCCCTTTCGTTGTCCTCAGGTGCCGCATGCGCGGGGCACCAAAGTATTGCATTTCATTTTTGTAATTTCGTTATAGTATTCTAATTGCTGCCCTTGTAATGTTTCCAGCCTGAAACGTGAGGCAAGTTGATTGAGATTCCGTAATCACAAGGGCCGAGTCTGCCCTTTTGTTCTGCACGTCTTATTGTGATCGCGACCGCCGTCGTTTCGGCTGCACCCACTGATGGCGTTTTCATCGACGCCGCTTGGTTGAAGCTCCGCTTGTTGCAATAATGAGGTAATGATTGCCGTGCAGCCTGCAGGCATCAGTATAGAAGACAGTTGGGTTATAAAGAAGCGTAACGCTTTGGTAGTGCTCGTGCTTTGACTTGCCTCCGGCCAGGATGGTACTTAGCGCTCACATTCTTGTGGGTGGGGGATGCCATGATTTGGGCACTAATGTTGTGAGGCAGCATGGCTACTCTCCGGCGTGTAGAGGTTTCAAGGGATAGCCAACCTGCTTGAGTACAGCTCTGGCTTGCTCCGTGGAATTTAATCGTCGTTTTTGGGTTATCAACACATCAGACGCGATTTCTTTGTAGGTAATAAAGAGTGGTAGCACGTCAACTTTTTCGGTGTTAACATTAGTGGGTATAGTCCAATCGCTTCTTTGTATGCCGTCCTTATGATTGCGTAATTTTTTTTTTTTTTGCTGTTTAGGCATGGGTTAACTTTTGGAGATGGGACTGCATTTTATTCTGTTTGAGACATAAGTCTGTACAAGGTGCAGAGTTTCCCCTTCCGTGAAGCTTTGTTTTTTCCGCGTGACCCTATGTATTGTGCGAGCTATGTTTGTCGTCGTTTCTCCGAGTGTTTCGATCGTTTGCTCTACCATGCGGTTATTTCGTATCCACAGACTAAACTCCTAGCTTTTGCACCTCTTTAATAGGTTGACCATGGATCTTGAGCTGTATTTAGGGCGTCCCGCGTTTCTAGACTATTGTTGATGATTGTGAGGACAAAGGTGGGGATGATGCGAACACTTGATTGTCCTAAACCTATTGGCAGTTTCTTGTAGAGTTTTGTCTCACGCAAAAACCTGTTTAAGCGCTTTTTGAAGACCAGGTGGTGTCCCAATACAATTTTTTTTAACTTGCTGTTTCGTACATTTGAAATAGACGCTCACCATCGAATTTCTTTGCGCGATATATCCTGGGCCGATGAGACGCACAAGATATGTTTACTTGTCTCGCGGGGCCCACAGGCCTCACAAGTTGGGACTGTCTGCATGGTCGATAAGGTGTAGTAACGGCGGGTGAACGCCACACTTTGTAAGTTAACAAACTTTACTCACCAGGAAATTGAAAGCGATCGAAGGAAACTTTTTTTCTTCAAGTGTGTATCAGCAGCATGGCGACGGCCCATCCAGTACTCCCAGTTCAGGGGCGTCAAAAAATGAAGACGTGAGATTTAAGAGATGTCTCGCCCGCATTCAGCTTGTGCACCTAGTTTCCTTCGTGGTATTTACAAAGTGATTGGGAAGAAAAAAATGTAACGTATGAGTGACTAAAGCAAAATAAAAAAAGAATATGTAGATGCCTCTTCCGCAAAACTCGATTTTAATAGCTTGCAACAAGAAAGTGAAACGTGCTGTCATAAGATTAGTAGCAGCTTTTTTTTCGGGGGGGGGGGGGGGGACGTTAACTAATACAAGAGGTAAATCTTGCACGCAGTGCAATATAATTCAGTTGTCTATACATTTTTACAGTGAAAGCTCTTAAGAGATCACTAGCTTGGGCCGATTCCCCCATCCGGGCAAATGGCGACGTTGTGATTGTGGACACACTTAGCAAAGCAAAGTGTATGTGGCCTGCAGCAAGCGTTGAAGAAGCTTACCCTTTTAATGACGGAATTGTTCGCACTTACCTGCTACGCCTGGATAGCGGCAAAGTTTTGAAAAGACCCACGCAGTAGATATACCACTTAGAGCTCGTAGTTCACCGCTGCCGGTGTCCATAAGTGCTATCGCGCGACACAAAAAAAGTAAATAAAAAACACCCAAGGTAGAACGAGTTTTGAACAGGAGACATCTGCAATGCAACCCAGCGTTTTACCACAGAGCCACTTTTTTTTCTTCTTTATGACAGTGACAGGACCGTCCTTGTGCATGAGACTGCGTTGCGAACTACCCTATGCGGGCTTCATGTTGGTCAGGAAAATGACATGTATTTCGTCATATTGCCCGTCTTTCTCGTGGCGGTTACGTGTGCTATCGGAAGATATTTCATAGTTAACCTCATTTCAGTATAGGATATGCTTGCCTGCTCTAAGCTACGCTGTAGTTCTCTAAGTTTTCATGCACGTTTTTGCCACGGAAGAAAGCCGTGGAATGAATGACCGTAGTTGGAAGCTAATTATGTGGCGGTTTTCGTTGCGAGACTCAGAAATAACTAATGCAAGCTTCTTGCCTGTGGCTCTGACACCAGTGAACAAGCGTGCAACGTTAAATCTACTAAACGTGTCTGGATGACACGTCTTCTATCTCCAGTTAACAACTACTTTGAAGGGGATGTACCAAACATTATGATCTGGGTTCTGCAGGTCGCGGGATTGAATCCCGGCCGCGGTGACCGCATTTTAAATGAAGGCGAGTATGCTCGAGGTCTTTGTTCTTGAATGAGGTGCACGTTGAAGAACCCAAGGCGGTCGAAATTTCCAGAGCCCTCTACTACGGCGACACGCGTAATGATATATTGGGACGTTGAACTCCATCAATATTTACTTTTAATATTATTTATTTGCCCATTCCAATTGGTTTATTTCCAATTCAAGTTGATTCGTGCTCATAGTATGGCTTCATTAGGTCTGTACTTACTATAAACAGAATATTGGATACCATTCCTGTTCCCGATGAGACTGGGCGAGTTATTTTTCGACAGATCAACACTCGCGCCTCGAGCTTGGTGTCGTCTCAAGCATTCGTTTCCTTTTCTACCTTCCATCCCGACTCTCGGAGCAGCCTGCCTGCTGACGAGCACCAAGGACCGACCAAGCCTGGCTGAGGCGTACCGGAGCTCGACCGAGTTCCCGGACAGTTGCAAGGGCTCCTCCGGCGACGGCCGCGTCGGTTCGCCCTGCTTGGAAGGAGCTTCGTCAGGCGGCGGCCGCTGCACCTCGGCGGATGACGGCGGGTCTTCCTCGCCCGCGCTGTCGCAGTCCGGCTGCCCAGAGGACGAGCGCAAACCGCTCCATCCGAAACTGGTCGGCGTGAGTGCCTCGCTCGAGATGAAGGCGCTGTGGGACGAGTTCAACGCGTTGGGAACCGAGATGATCGTCACCAAGGCCGGAAGGTGAGTAAGTGACACATCACGCCTGACGCTTGACTGAGTTTGTGGGTTCGGTGAACGCATACGATAAAAATCCTTGTTATTACAGTTGAATTCCGCAATGGTGATATTAGCGTGGAAAGACCAAAAAAATCACGCACCTCCAGGAAGTGAAGCAATCATGGTGAATGGGCGAAGCACTGAGAATGGTTTTTGCCGTAAGTTGTCTATAATATTGCCCACTCGTGCATGTTAATGAATGACAACGCGTCTGCACAATATACACTATGTTTTTTTTTGTTGTTGAGCCACCAGCGCTCTCTTAACTCCGGAGTAGCAACTTGTCGGAGTTGCTGCTTTTCCGCAGCTTCGCCTCCACGGTAGCTAGTTGACTCCATCGGCGTTGCCTTGCGCGGACGACAGCGCGCTCACGTTGGTTTTTATTCATCGGTGTAGTCACCGGGAGCGCGCTCATTCTTCATCGTCATCAGCCTCGTCGTCATCGTCACAAGCTCGGACAACGCATAGCGGACAAGCCTACAGTTGCTTCGCCCCTAAAAAAATGCAGCAGTTATACGCTGTTGCGAAAGACGGGGACGCCAACACGGCCCCGAAGGCGCCACTGCTTTCAACTCCGCCGGGAAGGTCACCAGCCGTTTGGTAGCGTATGTTTCTCAGCTCGCGACTGCTTCTGCGCCGAGCTGATAAGACGAGCGGACGAGACGACGGTGAGTTAAACAAGGTTTATGTACAGCATATATATAGAGGCGTTACAAATTCGGCACTGGGGCCGACAGAGACTCGAAGAGCCGAGCTCTCCTCTCTAATACATAGGTCAACTTTTCGCCTAAGACCGCCGATTCACACACATGTCGGCTCTCCGACATGGGGACTCCTCTCTCATAGGACCGCCGATCGCGACGCGCCGCAGGGCTTCTTTTATAGGCACCGGGTCCAACCAAAACTATCCAATTAGAAGCGCCGCTGGTCGTCAGGGCAGATTCCTCCAATGGGGTCGCCGCGCAATGCGTCAGACCACCAGACACGAGGACGCCGGCTCGCTGTCACGTGCGCGGCTGACTCAATGCACGTGGGCCAGAGAGGCGCCGCGCGTGTTCGCGCCGTTGAGTTGTTCACGTCAGGCGGACTGCGGGCTGGCCTTGACCCAGATTGCCTTTTTCAGAGGCACGGACGTTTGACGAGGACTCGCTGGCATAACAGCACCCCCGCCGCCAGACAATGCACCGGAAAGACGAGCTGCTTCCACGGGGCTCGGATGTCAGGTGCGCTCGTTCGCCAGGTCCCTCCAGGTTCGCCTCCAGGGCCATGGGGAGAATACAGCTCCAGACTGTTCCGGGAACACATCCCATTTTTGACGACGGATCCCAGCTCCACTGGCTTGTCGCCACAACTTGTCGACCAGCTTCACTCGTCTCTTCTGACCATCTTCGGTTTCAGCACTTGTCGATGGTTCTGCAACTTGCCAAGAACGGATCGACAACAGACAACACACGACACACGCAAGTGCCTTCGGTCACCCGACAGAACACCAGACAAAGTATAGTACAACATATACCTATCTACGTGTCTATCGGAATTTTGTTCCCTCTACATCAAGAGGCACATGTGGGACACAAGACTCTTAAAGTAAGAACTTCTATTTTTCGCACTTACAACAACGCAACGAATTAGAATACCACATAAAGTTGGCCCCTTGAGATCACTCTGAACGAGAGCGCTCAGACCAGGTCGTGATGAGGTCAAAATTTTGCCCCGAATCGCCAGCGAGAAACCGAAAGGTTGAGAAGTTACTAGCTGGAACGCACTGCTCAATGCACCTGCATTAGCGTTTACCTTTCCTTCATTTTTTTTTTGATAGCGAACGTCAAAGTTGCGCTGTGGAGCAACATGCTCCACTTCAGTAACCGGCCACTTTTAGGCGACGATACCTATGCGGCACCAGGAGCGGCTCGAACTTGCGACGTTCCACAGGAGAACAACGATACGGCTTGCTACGGATTGACTCCTCACTGCTTAGCTCGATATCGTGTTCGATCACCGTCGTGTTTCCGGGGCGGTCCGAAAACACGTCTCCAAACTCGGAACCAATCTTTCTCGGGTCCTCTTTCTCAGGTCCTCCTTCACTTAAGCTAGGCTCTAGGTTCAACTGTCCCCAGATTACTTTCGATCTCCTTTCGATTACCTCACTAGAACTAAAAATTTCTGCTTCCTCTTCCTCTGAAGCACTTAAAAGTAAATTTACGACTGCTTTCAAGTTACTGTGATAAATTTTGTTCGGCCGCCTTCCTAATTTCTCTTCACAATTGGTATCAGAAAGCTTCGATACTACTTTTGCGGGCCCTTCCCAATCAACCTCAAGCTTGTTCCTTTTGGACGGCTGCAGCAGCATTACCTGATTATCAACTTCAAAAGCACGCTTCTTCACCGATTTCTCGCAGTGCTCCTTCGACAGCACTTGTGCCGCGTTTTTGTGGCTTTCCACTAGCGCTTCATTTTAGCCTTCCACTAGCGCTTCAATCGAGAGATCCTCACGCTGCTCTCGAATGAGCGTCTCTCGATCAACTCTCGGCAGCTCGCTCCAACTTTCCGCTACAGGCGAGAGCGTTGCAACCCTCTCGCTCTGACTCAATGGCGCCATGTGGTCTCCCCTTTCTACGGAAACCGCGCCGGTCGGTTCGGCGACGGGCTGCTCGCGTGACTGCTCACATGACTCATGCGGAAACTTTCCCTTCTGGGGTTCCGTCGACCCGCCGACAAGGTCACTTGAGAGTTCACCGCATTGAACCAGATCAAGCTGCCGCGATAGCTTCCGCGCTTGCGATCGCGTGAGAGCCATGCACGCTAAGTTGGGGAAGAACGATTTGCCCTGCTCTTTGAGAAGCTGCTCTGAGTTGTTGGAGAAAAGATAAGGAAAACGATCATTTAGCGCGGCAGACACAGCCGCTTCGGTGCGAAGCTCACCGAACGGGCCTTTAATGACAACCGTGGCGATTGGTAAGCGAACACTCTGCTCCTCGGCGACCTGCCTGATCCACGCGCATTCTCCTGTGAAGTCATCCGGAGACACCAATGAAGGATGGACAACGTCCATGGTTGCCGCTGAGTCTCTAAGCGCTCGGCACGTTTTCTCATTGACCCTAATTTCTTGGAGATACGGCTCCAACAACCGAATGTTTTTTTCTGATTCTCGGATCGTTGCGAAGGCAAACTTTTCCTGACAGTTTCTCGCGATGTGCCCTTCCTTTTTACAGTTGTAGCAGATTAGCGGCTTCCGTTTGTTTTCCGATTCAAATGCCTGTGTGGTAGAAACCTCACTCGATTTCTCCGCTTCTGTTTGCCCTTCCCCCACACTGTCCTTCGTAAGAGACGGGTCCTTCTTGAAATTCAGGTGCGGAGCGGGTTTCCGTTGATCAGGTTTCCTTGAAAAGCCCTCTTTCCTTTCATCCTTTTCAACGCGCACTGCCCTGCTATGCAACTTTCGGCGAGTATAATACTCCTCAGCTAACTCAGCTGCCTTGTTTAACCGTACTTCCCCAAGTCTGTCCTGCAGCCAAAGTTTGACATCCTCCTCGATGCAGCGGTAGAATTGCTCCAATGCAACGCATTCCACCACTTTATCGCGGTCGTCATAAACACCTTCGCCCTTGAGCCATTCAATCAAATCGGCTTTAAGACGAAACGCGAAGTCAACGTGTGACTCATTCCCCTTTTTAGCATACCGGAACCTTTGCCTGAAAGCCTCGGGTGACAACTTATAACGTCTCAAGAGCACTTCCTTAACCTCGTCATAGCTCTCAAACGCTTCCCTCGACAAGCAAGTTATCGCGTCGGACACTTCGCCGGGAAGAAGAGCTAGCAGGTTCCGCGCCCAAAGAGGCCGCTCCAAAGCGTTTCGCTCACAGACGTGTTCAAACTTGACGAGATACTTCGCCATGTCCTCGCCTACTACGAACGGTGGCAGTTGGTCCCGAATTCTAAAACCGCTGACCTGAACTGTTGGAGAAGCTACGCTAGGCGCCTGCGAACACTGTAGGATTGCCAATTCTAGTCGTTTCAACTCTAGGCGCTCTTGTCTCTCGGCCTCCTCGCGCTCGCGACGTTCGCGCCTTTCAACTTCTTCACGTTCGCGAGCTTCGCGCCTTTCAGCTTCTTCACGTTCGCGAGCTTCTACTTCTCGCCTTTCAGCCTCTTCGCGGCGTGCTTTAATATCCACCCAGGCCTCATCGACTTCCTCAGCCGACACTCCCTCATCCTTCATAATCTCAAGGATCGCTTGCTTTCGTTTCGCACGGCCCAAAGTAATGCCGAGTTCCTCACAAATTTCGATGAGTTCCTTCACTTTAAGGTTCTCCATCGTTCACACTAGCCTCTTGCTGTTTGCCCCTGTTAACAATTTACTTGCCGTACCCACTATAAGTCAACTAGCAAGACGCGCAAGCAACTTTTCACTCTCCCGTGTTTACCCCCTCCGCATTAACTTTGGTTTCAAAGCACTTCGACTTTGCTTGAAACGATCAAAGCTCACTCTAATGCTTCACACAGCCCTTCTCTAAACTACTACAACCTGAGCTAGAGTAGTCTGGTGAACTGAGGGGAAAACATCAGGCACTCACCGCATCGATGTCGTTGACGCCGGCCGATCCCGCAGCTGCCAACCACTGTTGCGAAACCACCTCCGAAATCCCACCGCTGACCTCCACTGTTGCGAAAGACGGACCGATCCCGCCGAAGCCACCACTGTTGCGAAAGACGGGGACGCCAACAAGGCCCCGAAGGCGCCACTGCTTTCAACTCCGCCGGGAAGGTCACCAGCCGTTTGGTAGCGTATGTTTCTCAGCTCGCGACTGCTTCTGCGCCGAGCTGATAAGACGAGCGGACGAGACGACGGTGAGTTAAACAAGGTTTATGTACAGCATATATACAGAGGCGTTACAATTTCGGCACTGGGGCCGACAGAGACTCGAAGAGCCGAGCTCTCCTCTCTAATACATAGGTCAACTTTT